GTCTATAGAATGTTTAATCTCGTTCGTAAAGGTTAAAACATCACCTTCAAGATAAAAAATATCAGAAAATTCTAGACATAGATTGGTAATAAGGTCATTTTCCTCTTCGTTTAAATGATTTGTTCTTAACTGCTCTTTGATAGTTTTACGTCTATCTCTTTGAATGTTATTAGGATCGAAATTAAAATTTAAAAGTGTATAGTCTTTATCTGAATTTGAACTAAACGGTTCTATATTTAGATCTGATAAATCTATAGATTTTTCCATGGCGTTTGTATTCGCAATTGAAGTGTAAAATTCACCGTGTGCGTTTACCTTTACTAATGCGTTTGGTAACCTAACTTTTTCTTTTTCGTTAGAATATAAAATTGCGTCAGTGTTTTTTAAATTGCACGAGAGCTTAAATATTTGTTCAGTTCTAGCCGGTATTTTAATGCTATTATGTTTTATTGAATTTCAAAAGATATTTCTTGTTTTAATTTATTATTATCAACTTTATGTAAAGGGATTGTTTTAAAATTTGTAATTAATTCTTTAGACTTTAAATCTATAACACACTCGTAATGTTCCAGAAAATCCAAACCTAATATACCATCAAAATCGATATCGAGATTATGGACATATACTTTATGGGGATCACCAGGAACAAAAGGAATGAGGGTGGATTTTTTTATTGGAATTTTTTCGTTAGTTATGCCTTGGATAGTTATATTTTCGGGATAACAATTTGGAAATTTATTTACAGTATGTTCTTTAAATATTGATATTCCAGCACCAGTGTCAATTAAAAGTTTATAAGTATTTGTTATGTCGTTTATATAAAAAAGATTCTGAGGGTTTACTGTATATAATTTATTTAAATGAATTGTTGATCGGGAAAGTTCACATTCGGGTTCATGTTGTCTAAATTCAGGGATTGGATTTGGGTTTCTAATTGGGATATTTCTTCTTGGAATGTGTTGATCGGAGGGTCTAGGTTGTGAGGCAATTCGGGAAAATCCTCATAATTATCAGTATTTTGAAAATTATTAGGAAATTCTTCGGGAATTTCGACTTGGTTTTGATAATTGTTATAAGGGGTGTCGTTAAAATTATCAGGACAGTAGTTAACGTAATCGTCATAATTAATATGATGTGTTCTGTTTTGATTATTATTAAAATTTCTATTTTGAAAATTCTGATTAAAATTTCTATTTCGAGAATTTTGATTAAAATTTCTGTTGGGGATATTTGTTTGATTTTGATTATTGTGAGAAACTTGAGTTATGTTTTGAGGTCTAGGCTGAAAATTCATAGAAGTATTTCTTTGAAAATTAGCTGAATTATTTTGATTCATGCCAGGATAGTTTGGTCTATTTTGTTGAAAAGAATTTGTATTAGGTCTTGAGAAATTTGAATTTAAATTTTGGTTAATATTAGGTCTATAAGAATTATTGTTATTTCTACATTGACTAGAACTATGACCAATACGATTACAAACAGAACATTTCACATTGTTAGGAATATTTCTTAAAGGTTGGATAGGTTTGGGATTATTACTCGATTTTTGATTTTCAAGGTATGAGAGTTGTAACTCTCTTCTGATTCTATTTTGAGCTTCTACAAGGGATGTCGGATTACTAGCACGAATTAATTGTCCTAGTCTAGGTTCTAAACCAGTTAGCAAAGTGTTTAAAGCCATTGTTTCTATTAAAATTGTTTGTGCATCCTTTTGATCTTTGTTTAATCCAGATTTTTGAATACTTGAATGTAATTTCGCGTTTAATACTTGTAGACGATTGAAAAATGTTAAAGGAGACTCTCCAGATAGTTGCTTAAGGCGTTGGAGGTCTTGTATAAGAGATGTGAAATCTCTTGAATCACCAAAATGCAGATTTAATAATTGTTTAATGTCAGGGTAGGTTTGTGGGTCTCTGGAACTCACAAGTTGTGCTGCCCTACCTCTAAGCTTGTTTTTGATATGAATAACAAGAAATAATTTTTGTTGCGATGTTGCCATTCTATACGCACAATCGCACGCGTTCAAAAAGTTTGTTAAAAATATTTGGTCACCATCAAATTCTGGGACTATAGAGAAAATTTCCGATAATTTATAAGGTTCTACTTCAAATGTTGTTGCGTTAGTATTGTTATTTGAATGGTTTTCCATTTTGTTTTAGTTAGGTAAAATTTAAAAATAGAAAGTAATTTAATTTAAATTTGGTAAAAGTAGAAAGTAGAGAGTTAAAATTGAAAATTAAATTGTTTCGAAAATTATTTTTTTATATAAGTTTATAAAAATAAGGTTATATTATTAGAAATTTTTTCTTTAGATACTTTCGTTGTACTAAAATATAGAGAAACGCTATATTTTATTAAGATAAAATAATTTTCTGCGATTAATATATAAAAATACTTAGAAAAATCGAACAGTTTCTTGGAATATTGTAATATAATATAGAATGTAAAGCAGCAGACAATTCTTTTACCTTACATGTATTGTTTCAACTTCATGTGGGCGTCGTGTTCTCGTATCAGTTACCAGGGGCTTCACCAGGTGTTCCTTCCGTAGCTATACCAGTTAGACTTGATTTTCGAATTTCTTTTGGTTGTAGGTTCTTTCCTTCGTTGAGGGATGAGGATCCGCCGCTATCAGTTAGAATTTTTCGTGTTCTGACAACGTTGACGAATCCTACCGACTGCGCCAGATGTTATATCATCAAATTCGAAGTTCACTTTTTAAAAAAACTTTATTAAACTTTTTAATAAATTACAAAATTATTGGTATTGAAAAATGTTACTTAAAATATAATTAATATAAAAATAATAATAAAAAAAATGAAACGGACAGAGTGTCGTTCTGTACTTGATAAAAATTAATATAAAAGTCTCTCTTGACAATAATTGATTTTTTCTATTAAATAAAGAAATAGTCGCTGAGTTGCTTCCAGTACTATTCCGTTGGAAATGCTGATGTTGCTGGTTGACTGACCGCTCGGACTTGGCGTCGATGGCTGGGCGTCACGCGGGGTTCAGTGGCCAACTTATATAACATATATATATATATATATATATATATATATATATATATATATATATATATATATATATATATATATATATATATATATATATATATATATATATATATATATATATATATATATATATATATATATATACCATATATATATATATATATATATATATATATATATTTGTCAAGGTTGGGTTGCAAGTATATATTTGCAAGTAGGTTATCAAGGTTGACAAGTTTTTATACAAAACATCCCGAAATTTGCCGATTGACTTCTGAATTCCAAGAGACTGCCAGTGAGTGCCGCGACTGTCTAGCGACTGCCAAGCGACTGCCGATCGACTGCCGAGCGACTGCCGAGCGACTGCCTATGACTGCCATGTAATTATAGGCGACTGCCGTAAGACTGTCAAAGACTGCCAGCGACTGCCAAGAAAATGTACATGTAATTCCAACAGTGAGACACCCCTCGGTTTCAAATCTTCTTGGACCATACATTTTTGAGAATACGTTGACCGATGAACGTTACATACGCTTTTTAGAGAACGATTTTCAAGATATGTTAGAAAATTTAAATTTAGAGATTCGTGCATCAATAGAGTGGCTGTGATATTGACGAAGAAATTTTACAAAATATTTATTATATAATAATTATGCATTCGTATTCGTATTTTACTAAGAGTGGGTCCCAGGTGGAACCCTCCACTGAGTACCAAAAATCTCCCCTCCACTGAGTATCACAATTTCTGTGGGTTTACACTTAATTGTTCCAGTGTGCACCAGCCGTGAATTGCATCTAAGACTTTCTGTATTTTTGAGGAGATGTCCTCCTCTTTCCGTAATTATGTATATACTCTGGGATATTAGAGGTGGCCCAATTGCATAGGCCTCCTCGGTCACCTGCAATGATCTATCGGTTTTAGATTTTTTTATGCGGTATTGTAACAAGGTTTACCAGAAAACTTATAAATCATGAGAGGCACTCAAAGGGGCGGTACGGTAGCAATTAGTTAAACGATATCGGCCGCCTGTGAGAAAAGCTTATAATTCAGTTTTAAAAAGATACATTTGATGTACTCAAAACAATAGAGGGTTTTTTGAGCATTTGTTAAAATAAGTGTATGTATGTAGTAATATTAGTTTTTAAGATTATATTAATTTAAATTGTAAAAAACCATTTAATAAAATATTCCGTCTTTTTATAAGTTATAAATCATAACAGAATAAGAATACCATTCCAACTAACTGAAATTAGTTAAACAAATAAGAATTGGCTATAATTCAGTAATTTTTCCAAAAAAAAAACATATAGTTTATATCGCTGATGAGGTCATAGCCAACTATGGTTTCCATTTAAAAAACATATGTTTGTGTCAAAAATGACAGGCTTCACAAACAAACAAAGAACAAATTCTGATTAAAGATATGATTATCTACAACTCTGATCTGAAAACTTTTTGTCTAAAATAGACTACAATGAAATTAGGGAGCATTTTTAAAATAGCCAAAATTTGTTTTTTTTGCAAAATATCTATAATAATCCATAAACTTATTCAAAAATCCGAAAGGCGCATATGCTTGTTCTCACAAAACTGCAATTATGTATTTCCATATTTGACCCATTTTCTAGCTACAGTAGTTTCCAAAATACCCATAGGGAACAACGTAGAAAACTCATAGGTTGACATTTTAAGTTATGTTGGCATTTGCCTGGTTTTGCATTGTTAGCAGGAGAGTTTCAGTTTAAAACTAGATGCAGTTTTTATAAAATTAGTTTAAATCGTCCTATTCAAAACTGTTCAAATTTCGCATGTGTATTCAGCATATTATGCAACCTATTTATATGTCTTCGCTGTAAAATTAACAGAGGAGTCAATTTTTGGACAGTTCAAAATTTGCATGGGATTTCCTGTTTACAACGCTGATGCACCACCCGGTATGTTTAAGCTTTAGTTTAATTCACTAAGTTAGCTATTTTTGTTAGATATTCTTCCTCCTCATTGTAACGAGAAGGAGTTTCAGTGCACCAATCACAAATGCATCAAAATCGAATTTAAGTGTGACGGTGATGATGATTGCGATGACTGGAGTGACGAAGACGATTGCCCACGTAGTAATGGAGATTGCGTCAGTGGAGAGTTCAAGTAAAATTTTTAAATGGTTTGAAATTCTCAACCGTCTACACATTTTTATTTTAGATGTAAAAGTGGTGACTGCATTCCTAGGCGATGGGTTTGTGATAATCAGAAAGACTGCTCACAAGAGGAAGATGAGTTAAACTGTGATTATAAAGTTAACAAAACATGCATTGATGACGAATTTAGTTGTTCAGATGGCCAGTGTATTTTGGTAAGAATTTTCCAAACTAAATCTAATATTTTATACTCGATTTTATAATTTTATAATATAGGCATACCTCAGCTGGGCTTAAAATTAGAGCACCAAAATAAACCACTGATTCTAGTGAATATATTTAAAACACTTCGTTTAAAACTTGACGCGCGTTTGCTAACTATTTTATGCTCAACTGAGGATTGATGATTGTAAACTAATTGAGTTAAAAACTATTAAGTTTAAATTATTTGCTGATAGTCAAACATGTAAATGTAATGTGTATTTGGTATATTTTGGCAAATTACTGTCATATTTTGATGCGATTTTTTGTTAAAACTTTTTGATTAGTGACTTACATTAGGAACTTGCGTGTTTTTATATTAGTTTTTTAAGTATTTTTTACTATGATGTCTAGAACTTTGAGACTTTCAGACAAGTTTTTTCAGAATATCACATTTTTTTAAATGGAGGAATTTGGTGATGTCATAGAAGTTTATCCACAAAATTTAAAATTATAAAACTGATTTTCAGAGTTTATGCTCAGATATGAACGGTGAGCGAACAGGTGTGGGCATGTGTAATAAATTAGACAAAAGTCTAAAAAAATGGCCTTTAATTAAAAATAGCCTATATTTGTGACCATTATCTCTACCTCTTATGCGCCGTCCTAATGAAGCATTTATCAGCTTATGCAGTTATTGTTCCTTGCACATCTTCTTCGGCAATGACTTTGTTCCGAATAACACCACTAAGGAGCTTTAATGCATGTCTGCCTTTCTTTGAAAGCGGGCAAGACATTAAGAGCAAATAAGAGCTTTAATAGAAAAAATATATAAACACCTTACTATTTATCAGAATGGTTATTCCAATAATATGTGTAAAATGTGTAAAATCAAAAATAAATTTGACATTACAATTTACCTAAATTATCGCACCTTAGTATTTATCAAAATGTGTAAAATCAATAATATGTGTAATATGTGTAAAGGGCCGTTTACACTCTCAGTTAATTTGCGCAAAATGGTTTGTCAAACCAAACTACACCAATAAAATATTGCATATGAAGTGTAAACAGAAATCGTTAGTCCGGTCGACATTGACTTTAAAAATAACATTTTCAAAATACAGTACCCACAAATATTTGCACAAATTAACTGAGAGCCTAAATGACCCTTAAGGTAGTTTAATGTTGGTACAGTTTGGTTTGAGCAAACCAGTTTGCGCAAATTAACTGAAAGTCTAAACGGCTATTACAAAAAAGCGTAAATGAAAGGAGTAACTAGCCGGGCTATAACGTTCATTTCTCCAGAATCTTGTTCTCATATTATAAAAAAAACCGTATCATGTTTCAATTGCCCAAAGAAATACATAGGAATGACTTTTCAGTACTTCAAAAATAGTTAACGGGTCATAAGTATAACAAGAATGTTATCTTAAAATTAAAAAAGAAAAAAATGTTAATGACAAAAAGGACCAATAATCTCATAGGACACCGATAACCATAGACTAATGTCATTTACTAGTCAAATAAAATATATTAATTACGACATAATAATTATTAAAGTACTGGCAAAAGTTTCGACCAAAACTATTTTTCAATGTCTAATACTATCACAGATGTTAATTGCTACAGTATTTTTTTAAAATTTTGGAACTTACTATAAACCCACATTTTCTTTACAAAAAAGAAACAGGAAATAATAATCATCCTTACTATACTTGAATAACTAACTCTTCATGTTTGTTCTTTTGCTATTTTATTTGAATAATATTAATAACTGCTTATTTGTGTGGGTTTTTCGAGATATATAAACTATTTTGTTGACAAGAATGTTTTTTTAATAATTATAATTAATATGTTTATTTTTTCCCTTTTTTTCTTTTTCCCATCTTCAATTTTTCATACATTACTTTTTGATTCAGAAGAAATTAAATTATGTTATGGTATTTTTTTGCTCAAATAATAAAGAGCTCTTTCAATTTAGAGAATAAGCGTTTTTCCCTCTTGTTTTAATTTTGTTCGGTTTTCAAAAATAAATTGAGTAAGTCAATAATTGTGTCATTGTCAAAATCGTCAAAAATAAATTGTTTAAGATTTTTTAGCTATAACGCTAGATATTGAAGATCCTTCAATTCGCTGTTACAGTTTGTTCTTATATGAAAAATTATTATATTTTAAATGTTTACACACCCTATTTTCCCCAAAAATCGGTAATAGTCGCAATGGTATATAGAACATTAAAACTTGGTGACTCAAAATATCAAATTTTCTCTTTAACAAAATCTAGAAATATTTTAATAACCAACAGATATCCCAGAAAACTTATTAATTTAATTGTTGAATCGCGAAAGAAAATTCTCTTAAATAACAATCCATCAAACAAAAATGGGTATAATGCTTGCTTACCAAGACCATACATTAAAAAATTATCTGAGGGCTCGTCTGAGGGTATTCAATCTTATTTTAAAAATTGTATAATTTAAAAACACACTTTAAAAATATGCCACAGAAGATAGCATCTAATTAAAAACAAATTTTTCTCATAACTAAATGGTAAGACCCCTAAGAAACAAAAAAATTCCAAACGCCACCTTGGCCAAACTTCACAATACCTAGATGGTCATCTTAAAGGGTATAAATATGACAAAATTATTAAAATATCATTAACTAATCATCAACTCAAAAAATCTCTTATCATTATCTTTGACGATGTTAAACCCGAACAAAATCAAAATAAGGGGAAAGATTTGGAAATGATATATATTAAAAAAAACACCAGTGCTGTTAATGGGAAAATCTGAATTAAAAATTTGAATAAAATATAGATATACATAATATACTCATAACGTAATTTAATTTTTTCTGACTCGAAAAGTAATATGCAATTAAAAGGGAGAAGATGGAGAAAAGGAGAAAAAATAAATATATTGAATATGTAATAAAAATTAGAGATGTCGAAGAAATCCACACAAATACACAGTTATTGGTATTATTCAAAAATATGTAATGAATAAAAATGTATAGTTATTCAAGTGTAGTAAGGATAATGTGATGTTTCTCTTTTTAAATAGTAAGTTCCAAAATTTTAAAAACATTACTTCACCAATTACCAATCTGTGGTTCTTTTTATTTAAGAAAAAATGGATATGTGATGGATTAGATGACTGTCGCCATGGTGACGATGAGATTAAATGCGATATTGTATGTGATGAAGGAAAATTTCCATGCAGTGGACCTGGAGTAAATGATACAAATACATTATTTTGTATTGGAAAGAAACATAGATGTGATGGTCAGACGGACTGTCCGAAAGGTGAAGATGAGAAAAATTGTCCTTCTAGAAGAGATTGTGAACCTGATACAAAATGCAAACAACTCTGTGTCACATACCCTGATGGTAAAAACGCCTGTTCATGTTTGAATGGATACAAGTTGGCCCTTGACAATTTTACGTAAGTTATTTATCACTATACCGTGAACAACTGAGTCGCATACTGAAACTGCCACCATTTTGCGTTTTGTGCATATATCACCCCCACTTTTGCCATATAAAATGTTGCACACATCCTGACTGGCTCAACTCGATTTACTCGAATCAGCAGTCAGTACCAGGTTAGGGAGGATAATGTTATCAACTACCTAATTTGTAGTTTGTAAAATTAAAATTTTATAAAATAAACTAAAATTATTACCTGATAAATATTTAACTTCTAAAATGTGTATTAGAACTTTTGACCAACAAATTGTTTTTTTAATCACCAGAATTATTTAATACTTTACTATAGGAATATAAACGAAATACTTTACTATCAAAAATAAACGGCTTGCCCGTTGTTCCAGAGAGCATAGTAAAAGATATATCAAAGAGCCAGCTTCCTTAATATACTTGTTTTCCAGACGTTGCTAGCTCTCGTTCTATTACTTCAAGTTTACTTTAGAAAGTTTTATTTTAATTCCACTAAACCTGAGGCCCTTAACAGGTTCAGAAGTGATAAAATAGTGAATTATTGCTATAATTTTAAGAAGTTTACAAAAATGTGTGATAAAATGGAGAGTGAAAAGACCGAAGCGGCAAAAAGCACCTCATCCGGGTTTCAATCTTAGATCTTATAAACTTCGTGGATAAAGCTATGCCATATGTATATTACACACGACTTTGTTTACGGGGCTTTCACATGCATTCTTCTAATTATTTCTTTCTAGAACAAGATTATCGTATAAGCCTATCGTTCTCTCTGAATACTACTGAGCATGCACAAAACGATATTAGACGTGTTTTCGCCGCCTAACCTAACCTAACCATTAAATTTTTAATCAAGACATAACTGATACGTGTATTTATTATTTATATAAAATAAATAGTGAAGTACAGTACGTCTGTCCGTTCTGTGGCTACGGGGTATCCGTGAGAGGGGAAACGATATTCTCTCGATGTTTTTCGTAAAAAATTAGACGACGCGTCCCATCAATAAAAATTCGACAAATTTGCAAGTAGCCAATAAAATTAGTGGGCGGAGCGATTTGCGGTGACGTACTCTTCAAGTCGACGTATAAAATATATTGCTGTTTATTTAAATATTTTTTGTCCGCATTCCTTTCATAGACACAGATCCAGCAGACGAACTGTATATGACAAATCTTTTCTGTATCACATTTGTGGGTGGGATATCTATATGACAAATACGTTGAAATAATTACTTTTTATATAAATTTTAAATAAAAATTAAATCATATAACGATAAATTATTTTTTTTAAATGTTTTATCTACGTCAGTTAGTTAAGAAGCTCTTAACTAACGCATTTTTATTACCGCACTCCTTGTTCAGATGACTACTAAAGTGAAAAAAATATTTTGTAAAATATTTATTTTGCACTAAATACCTACTAAATACAAATAAACTGTTCTATTGATAATAATTATAAAAACATGAAAACTTATTTATTATAAATGTTAATGATACAGTTTCAACAATCTTTCAAGTAAATGGCTGATGAAGCATAATATATTATATTCATTTTAATAGATATCATAGTACGTATTATTGAACAGAAAGTCCAATGAGACGAAGGCTTATAAGTAGCGGATAAATTAGAAAAATATTTTCCATAGTTGTGTACTGCTTTTTCGGTGCACCACTTGTTTTAATACTTAGAGTATGTATCTTAATACTTCGGTTTCGATCTTGCTGGAAGCCGGAAATGGCTCTGAATGCCACTTCTTTAATGTCAGAGGGAATACTTTCCGAATCGCTCATTTTTTAAACTAGTGACATCAATATTATTTATTCTCATATTGACATTGCCCTGCGTGTTATTTGAACAAAGGTATTAAAGTAATTGATTCTTAGGATAGGTATATAGTTAAGTATGTACAATAACTTTTAAAATTCATTGTGTGTTTTTATAGTTAGACGTAGATAAAATATTGTACAATACACGCGAGTTAACTCCATTAAGATACTTGTGTGGTTACACAACTCGTGCTACGCACTCGTGCAACTTTCATACGCATATCTTAATGATGCTATTAACTCACTTGTATCGTAAATATCTATAAAATACTACCTACTTTGAAAAATAGCTATCATGAATGGGCAACACATAGAATCAGTAACCAGGAAAACATTAAAATATGTTTTGACATTGAAAAGTCAAAACATATTTTAATCAAAAAGTTTATTTAATTTCACTTTTTGAACTTTTTTTTATACTGTTTGACCCGTGATAATAAAGAGTCCATTTGGATTTCCGACGATATTTTAGATTTGTATTCTTTAAAAAATTCCTCCCAGAATCGCAAACGGGTTTTCACACCCACCGCGGCACCGTAGATTCAATATTCTCCATCCGCCAACTACAGGAAAAAGCAAAAGAGCAGCAGTGTAAACTTTATATTGCATTCATCGACCTAACGAACGCCTTCTCTGTGAACTCTGTGAACAGGGATCCACTTTGGGCAATTATAAAAAAGTTCGGAGTACCCAACAAATTCCTTACACTGTGTAAAAACCTCCATAACGACAAGTCAAGAGTGTCACCATCATGGGTCACTGAGCGATCCCTTCCTAACAAATACAGGAGTTAGGCAGGGACGTGTCTTAGCGCCTCTCCTATTCAACATATTCATGGCAGCGCTCTCCATTATAGTGGACAGCAAACCGCAGAAGAGAGGATTGAACGATCATAATCACAAAAGTCTGCTTAATTGGCTGGTCACGTATGCTGCTGGTCACGTATGGCGAATGCAAGAAAACGGCATACCAAAATCTCTGCTTTACAGTGAGCTTGTAGACGGTAAGAGGAGGCCGGGTGGATAACTCAAAAGGTACAAGGGTATTTTCAACGAAAACTTAAAGGGGATTAACATGCAGATTGTGTGGGAAGAAGCAGCTCACAATAGAACGCAATGGAGAAGAATTGTAAACTCGGTTAACAGCAACAACCAAAAAGTAAAGAGATACCAAAGCAATGAGATTTTTGAATGTCTGGAGTGCGGTAGACAGATAACATCACGTATCGGGATTTTCAGTCACAGAAAAGTTCATGAAAGAAAACAATTTGTTGTTGGTCAATCGAGATAAAATTTGTTGGTCACGAAAAAATAGCGATTGAAAATTTGGCCATGTGAATACCCAGTTAAACTCGGAAGAAAAATAGAACAAAGAAGATGGAAAAGGGGCGAAAACTTCCTATCATATTATCACGACAAAGTGTTATTAGCAAATGCTTCTCAGGTATCTGAAAATAAAACTATTCATTTGGTTAGGTTAGGTTAGTTTAAACTCGTCAATAATATGACGGGTTTGATGACAAACATTTAAACAATCAGAGTAGAATGCTATTGAAAGGCATAAATAACTTGAACGATTTATTTGAAATAATGAATAACCTTACACAAGAAGAAAATTACTCAGGAAATAAGCTCTAACCGACCAAAAAGAACAAAAGGATTAGAGAAAAGCCAGTAGCAAAGTGCTATAACTGCGATCAAGAAGGACATTGGTTGTCAGAATATCCCAAACCTCAGAGAGAGAAAGGAAGCTGTTTTGAGTGTGGAAGTATGAAACACAGGGTAAAGGATTGTCCAAAGAAACGAAGACCTGTATCTGATTCAGTAACAATGTTTTTAGAAGAAAAGTTTGTGGAATGGGTTGAACCGTTCACAGTGAAGGTACTAATAAATATTTTGGAGAAGTCTTTTCAAGTTATAGTCTAAGAGATAGAAAGCTGGCTCTTTAATATGTCTTTTACTATGCTCTCTGGAACAGCATGTAGCCCATCTTGCTGCTGATACCCGTTGCGTTCACTACTGCGTATCGGTATTCGCTGCGTATATCTATCAACAAAATAAAAGATAATGTCATAATCTTTATCATTAATTTTAATTTATCTAAATATGTACCTCTAATATTTAAATTAGAATTATTGATACCTGATAACAATTTACCTTGATAAGGAATTATAAGTTCAGTTGTGGAATTAAATCCTCTGATATTAATGACACTGGATACCAGAATCTAACATAATAGTACGAGAGCTAACAACGTCGGGAAAACAAGTATTTTACTATGTTCTCTGGAACAGCATACGCACATATGGCTGCCGATACCCGTTGCGTTAAGTACTGCGCATTGAAATAAGATCCTATTTTTTTTTTATTTAGTCCGAACCGAGGATTCAGAGTTCGAAACCGGGTGAGGGTAAAAACTTTTTTATTTTATTTTCGTTTATATTCTGATAGTAAAGTATTAACTATTTGTTTTTTTTGAATCGCCAGAATTATTTAATACTTTACTATCAGAATATAAACGAAAATAAAATAAAAAAAGTTTTTACCCCGACCCGGTCTCGAACTCGGGACTTCTCGCTTTATAGGCGGAACGTTTTCGGCGCTGCGCTATGGAGACTCGCTCGGTTTATATTCAATACTAGAATTTCAAGGACTAATAAAAATATAGGATCTTCTTTCATTGCTCCACAACATTTACCGGCAGCCAGACGGGGCCGTATGCTGTTCCCTCTTTCCTTGTCTATGGCTGTTCCAGAGAGCATAGTAAATTATATATTAAAGAGCTAGCTTTCTTAAAATACTGTTATGTTAGATTCTGGTAATCCAGTGTCATTAATATCAGAAAATTTAATTCCAACTGAACTTATAATTCCTTATCAAGGTAAAATGTTATCAGGTATCAATAATTCTAATTTAAATATTAGAGGTACATTTTTAGAAAAAAATTAAAATTAATGATAAAGATTATGACGTTAACTTTTATGTTGTTGATAGAAATACAATGTCATTTTCTTTATTGTTAGGAAGAGATTTTTTTTATCATTCGAATATTAATAAAATTATTTTTTCTACAAATCAAGTTAACATTTTAAATGCAAGAATTCACAGTGATTTTTTAAGCAATGAAGTTTTTTACTAATATCTGATATTATGGATAACCGAGCTGTTAACGTAAATTTATTTATCATGTTCTTTTATTAGTTTTGATGCATATGGTATTATAAACAATTCGCATATGTGTAACGTTGGTTACGCATAACAGTTTGGACACAGGAAATAGATTATTTTCTGAAAGTTTACTTTAGAAACCTTTATTTTAATTCCACTAAATCTGAGGCCCTTAACAATATAAAAAATATGTCTGATTTTAAGCGTGAGGAATCTCCTTACTAGAGATGGCACATGTTTTTTGAAACACCCTCTATACAGAGTGAGTCTTAAATAAGTGCAAATACTTTTAGAGTTAGTATATTTTGACCCCCGAAACACGATCATAAGGTTTTTTTGCGAATTTTTTTTTTGGAAAATTTGGATTTTTTTTAGTGTTTAGTTAGAAAACATAATTTCTTGATAATATGACAACATAGGCAGTACAGTAAAAAAAAAAAAAAAGATCCAGTGATTCTCAAAATAAACAAAAAATAATTTTTTAATTTTAAAGTAAAATAACTCGGTTATTTTGGACTTATTTGAAAAATAGTAAAGAAAAAATATGTTTCTTTTATCGAAGCCCTTAAAGCCCTGAAAATAGTTGCACTTATTTAAGACTCACCCTGTATATTAAAAAATATATATATCGTACATTTATTGAATAAAACAATCATTACAGATGTGAAGATATAGATGAATGCATGTATGCAACTGATCCAGTTTGTTCACAAAAATGTAATAATACTGTTGGAAGCTTTAAATGTGAGTGTATGACTGGTTATATACTAAGACCAGATCTTCGAACTTGCAAAGCTATTGGTGCGTCACCAACATTGCTATTTGCAAACAGAGTTGACATTCGACAGGTAACGTTATTTTTGAATACTAGGGTAATAAATAAATTTAATTGCAAAATAACTGTTAAATCCCTTATAAACAAAGTGATCTTGATATTTTCTTAACTGTTTTTATTTTATGCAAATATAAAATTACGTAATTACGTTATTTTGGAGAAAATTTTATAGTAAAGTATTTTTTTAGATGTCTTTGAGCAATTCTAAATATTCTTTAATATTGAAAGGACTCCACAATGTAATATCTTTAGACTATCATTATGCACAAAATTACATATTTTGGTCAGATGTATCCATGGATAAAATTAGGAGAAGTTCAGTAAACGGAACTGACGTTATAAGTAAATTATTTAAAATACAGATACTCTTTTTACATAATAGTATTTTTTAGCAATTATTAATTCTGGACTGGATTCCCCTGGGGGAATTGCTATAGACTGGATTCATAATCTTCTTTTTTGGACTGATTCTGGTACAAAAAGGGTAGAAGTGGCCAATCTTGAAGGGACTCAACGAGCTATCATAGCTGCAAGCGAATTAGATAAACCAAGAGCAATTGCCGTTCACCCCGGAGAAGCATTAGTTTTCTGGACTGATTGGGGACCAAATCCAAAAATCGAACGGGCTGATATGGATGGTTCCAACAGAAAAAGCATTATAACAGAGTCCGTATTTTGGCCTAATGGATTGACTATTGATTACGTTACCAATCAGCTATATTGGGCCGACGCTAAGCATAATGTAATTGAAACATCAGCATTAGATGGATTTAGAAGGAGAAAAGTGATTACTAAAGGGCTTCCTCATCCTTTTGCAATTACTATATTTGAAGATGCAATATTTTGGACAGATTGGCACACAAAATCTATCACAACAGCTAATAAACTTACAGGAGCCGGTTATAAGACATTACACTCTCAACTCCATTTTCCAATGGACCTTCATAGTTTTCACCCGCAAAGACAACCAAAATATAGAAACCGCTGTGGAAGTTCTAATGGTGGATGTTCCCACTTGTGCTTACCTAACAACAAATTGTATAGTTGTGTCTGCAGAATGGGTCAGAAGCTTAAAGAAGACGGAAGATCTTGTCATAAGCCGGACAAGTTTATTTTGTTTGCTAAAAAGAAAGATATTCGAATTAAACATTTGGACGGTATGTTTATTTTTATTTTTAAGTGTATGTTTGAAAATGTGAGTAATTTTGAATAGGATCACTAGAAAAACAGTACGAAATGGTTATTCCAATCGACGGAGTTAAGAACGCAATTTCTGTAGCTTGGGATGCAAAAACTAATTATATTTACTGGTCTGATGTTGCAATGAAGTCTATTAATAGAGCATTCTGGAATGGTAGTAATCATGAGGTCATTGTAAATACGAATTTGGGTACAAAATAATTCTTTTGGCATATGACACTATTGTTTTATTTTCTATTTAATAATTTTAGTATTACCATATAGCATTGCATTGGACTGGGTAACAGATAAACTATATTGGACTGATGAAAGTAATTCCAGAATAGAAGTTTCAAATTCAGATGGTTCTATGCGGTCTATACTAACCTGGGAAAATTTAGATAAACCCAGAGATATAACTGTAGATCCTCATAGTGGATTAATGTTTTGGGCTGACTGGGGAGAAAAGAAAAGAATTGAAAAAAGCAATATGGATGGAACAAGTAGATCTGTATTGGTACAGTCCAATCTATCTTCTCCAAGTGGACTAACTATTGATCATACCACTGGAAAATTGTATTGGGTTGATGGCGATCTTCGGACAATAAATTTTGTAAATATGGATGGTACTGGAAGAAAAATTTTATTAGGTAAAATGTGAATTTACATTATATATTCTCATAGAATAGACAAAAATAGTGCTGAAAATTATACCTAGCGAAAATGCGTTGACATAGTTTTGATTTTTTCTATTACTCATATATTTGAAGTACCGAATTCGAGTCTGAGGTTTAGCAAGAAAATTTCGTGGCAAAACATCGAGCAAAATTTAAAAAAAATGTATAATTTTTGAAGGGTTTTTACTTTTAAATCAAGAACTACGACGTTCGTAAATATTCTTTTAATCAAGATTGAAATATATATATAGTTTATATATATATATATATATATATATATATATATATATATATATATATATATATATATATATATATATATATATATATATATATATATATATATATATATATATATATATATATGTCTCTCATATATATATATATAACCATATGCTCAGCAATATATATAGATTTATTAAACCGCTTATACGAGCCCAAAAACTACGTTGCTTCATTGGGCTCAGACCCGATTTCGACATTTCAGGCCCGGGGTCGGGTCTGAGTACATTTCAGTGGTTATCGTCTAGAACGGTTTCCCCACTTCCCCTGACCAAATTTCAGCTGGGCCTGAAAAATGGTTTTATGTTTTTTATATACGATTGGGGGTACACCGGTATTGTCACGGGCGGCGCCACCTTTCGACATTAGTATAAGTGTATAAGCCGATTTACGTTGAATCGATGTATTCAGACCCAAGAACCGGCAACACGGTAAAGCAAACTATTAAAGGGAAACGAAGATATAGCCGTGTTATATTTGGTAGAAAACAAAATGCTCATACTCTAATTAGAATATTAAGAAATTCAGACGAAAAAAATGAAAATAAGTATACTTTTAAAATTATTCCTACTAGTTTCATTTAAAAATATCAATAATTTACGGTCTAATCTTTTTTTTGAATTGCTGTCATCACCGGATTTGTAGAACTAACTAAACTTTTATTGTCGAAACCGGTCGTTCGGCTAATAAATACTAGAAACAAAATTATTTCGATCGGCGGGTCAAAAATTGTACGAGCACCTACAAATTTACTTCGATGCTATGATTTCGTTGTAGAAGTACCTAATTTTTTTTTGATCTAAATCGATCAGCGATCGTCGCGTCGTGTCAAAGAATTGTAGGAGTAACAACAAAATTATTTCGATGCTGTGATTTCGCTGTAGAAGTACCTAAAAATTTTTTCGTCTAAATCGATCGTCGTGTCAAAAAAATGTACGAGTACCTAGAACTTTATTTCGATACTATGACTTCGTTGTAGAAGTATTTAAAAATTATTTTCATTTAAATCGATCGTCGTATACCGGGTGCGTCTCAAAAGTAGCTCACTCCTACAACATTTTTTATTTTGTCAGATAAAAAAACGAGTTTTGGTATGTTAGTATATAACATAAATTAGGATTGATTGACGTATTCAATTGTTTTTGGTCACTTCCTGTTTCACCGGAAATGGCTACAACTTTTGATTTTTAAATGGCACCCCCGGTATATTTTTACATTATTCGATAGAAAATCACACTGAATAGAATGGCATATCATAAATATGTCAATTTTTGACATTTTCACATATGATTTATTTGTAACATGCGGTTCATAATGACAATTTGACTCGAGTACAAAATTGTGGTACCAAATTATTCGTAGAAAAATGCTTTTTCCAAATATGCTAACGAGCCACCTTTGTTCCGTTTGAAAAAATTGAGATATGATTAAAAATGACAAGACACGAAAATCATTAGACTATCAAATCTATTTTTCCAAGGCTCCTTGATTAAAAATTAGTGTTTTTAACACATCCATGGCACTCTATAATAGATAGAAATTTAAAATACTATTTTTTTAAGCGAAAATGTCAAAAGTTGACATATGATATATTATTCTATTCAGAGGGTCATTTTCTATCGAATAATGTAAAAACATACCGGGGGTGCCATTTAATAATCAGAAGTTGTAGTCATTTCCGGTGAAACAGGAAGTGACCAAAAACAATTGAATACGTCAATAATTCCTAATTTATGTCATATACTTACATACCAAATCTCGTTTTTTTATCTAAAAAAAAATTAAAAAGTTATAGCGGTGAGCCACTTTTGAGACGCACCCGGTATAAAATGACAGCAATTTATGTCATATACTAACATACCAAATCTCGTTTTTTATCAAAAAAAAAATAAATAAAAAAGATATAGCGGTGGACCACTTTTGAGACGCATCCGCCAATAGAATTACTGGAAATCTATTCAAGGTCGTTACGCCGTTACGCCGATACGCCGTTTTTAGGATAGTGTGGATGCACCCTCAATAGACTGAAATATCTTAATATGTCAATTTACATTTTCGCATATGGTTTATTTGAAATTGTAACATGCGGTTCATAATGACAATTTGACTCGAAATACCATGTGTGTGGTACCAAATTATTCGTAAAAAATGCTTTTTCCAAATATGCTAACGAGCCTCCCTTGTTCCGTTTTTAAAAATTGAGATAGGATTAAAAATACGATTTGGGCATCTTATAAGAACGGGCCCGGACAAGACACGAAAATCATTAGATTATCAAATCTATTTTTCCAAGGCTCCTTGATTAAAAATTAGTGTTTTTAACACAGCCATGGCACTCTAGATTGAAATTTAAAATACAATTTTTTTAAAGCGAGACTGTCAAAAGTTGACATATGATATGTCATTCGATTCAGAGTGTCATTTTCTATCAAATAATGCAAAAAAATACCGGGGGTGTTATTTAAAAATCAAAAGTTGTAGTCATTTCCGGTGAAACAGGAAGTGACCAAAAACAATTGAATACGTCAATCATTCCTAATTTATGTCATATACTTACATACCAAATCTCGTTTTTTTATCTAAAAAAAATTAAAAAGTTATAGCGGTGAGCCACTTTGAGACGCACCCGGTATAAAATGACAGCAATCTTCATTTCATGCCACCGCGGATCATCGTGTCGAAAAATTGTACGAGTAGGTACCCAGAAATTTATTTCGGTACTATTATAGTACATTACAGAAGTACCTAAATATTTTTTTCATCTAAATCGATCGATGGGTTAAAAATTGTACGAGTACCTAGAAATTTACGTAGAAGTACTTAAAAATGTTTTTCGTCTCAGAAAACAGATCGTCGTATAAAAGAATTGTACGAGTACCTAGAAATTTATTTCGGTACTATGATTTCGTTGTAGTAGTACCTAAATTTTTTTTCGTTTAAATCGGTCGTCGTATTCGTGTTTTGACATTATTCGATACAAAATTACACTCTGAGGGTGCATCCACACTATCCTAAAAACGGCGTATCGGCGTAACAGCGTAGCGACCTTGAATCGATTTCCAGTAATTCTATTAGCTGAAATTTTTAACAGATGAATTTGACAGATAAAATTTCTAACAGATGAATTTTTCAGCCAATAGAATTACTGGAAATCTATTCAAGGTCGTTACGCCGTTACGCCGATACGCCGTTTTCAGGATAGTGTGGATGCACCCTCAATAGAATGACATATCATAATATGTCAATTTTTGACATTTTCGCATATGGTTATACATATACAGAAATACCTAAAGTTTTTTTTCACCTAAATCGATCGTCGTTTCAAAGAATTGTACGAGTACGTAAAAATTTATTTCGTTTTATGATTACGTTATAGAAGTACCTAAAAAAATTTTTTCGTCTAAATCGATCGACGGGTCAAAGAATTGTACGAGTACCTAAAGATTTATTTCGGTGGTATGATTTTATTGTCGAAGTAATTACATCAAAGTAATTACGATCATCGTATATATGATAGTGACTGTACGATAAGGCCGTTTTGTATGATATTTCTCCCCACACGAAAAAGTTTACACAAAAAGGCACCGTATGATCGAAAAAAAGCGGCGTCCAGTTGGCTTGGAAATGACGATCGATGACATTCCCCATATAATTTTACATATAAAATGACAGCAATTTTCATTTCATTGCCATCGCTGACGCCGTTTTTTTTTTCGATTATAAATATGATAGTATTCAGTTATTTCACAATAATTAATTTTATTGCATTATTTCGTTCAGTGAGATCTAAAATAGTAATTTCAGTGAAACAAAAATTTTGACGGCTACACGTATTCTTTAAACTGTGGCTAACACTACAGTAATACCATAGTAATACGTTGTATATTCAGTTTACGGCTGGATGCTATCTACCAACACCATGTAAATAGGACAAACACGTTTTATGGTTGCATCTCTATAATATGTTCTATCTTCTATGTTTATTTTGTATTCGAAAACTTAATTAGAGTAATATTTGATAATATAATATTCTTATGCCCACTTGCACCGTTTGTATAAACTTTGTTTAAAGGCTAAACAGTGATTAACTATACGTATTTTATTATAGTTAATCACTGTTTAGGCTTTAAACAAAGGTTATTCAAACGGTGCAAGTGGGCATTAATATTCATTGATTGCAATATGAATGAAAATAGTGATTTGTTTTAATCACAGTTCTAATAATTTAAACTTGAAAGTATGGGGTTCCCAGAAAAGTAGGTGGTTCCCAGCCTCTACAAATAGGGAATTCCCAGAAATTGATGCTTTTAAACCTACACTTTTTTCCTACTTTACTGCTACATGAATTTTATCAGACGCAGAAAATTTAAATTATTACATTTATACTTTTAAAAATTCTGTTTACAGTCTCATCCAAACTCAACTCGCCAGATTAGACCTTATATTATTTATATTTTTAAATAAAACTAGAAGAAACAATCTTTAAAATTCTTTAAAGATTGCATTCGCTTATTTTCATTTTTTTTGTCAGAATTTCTCTGTCAGATGCTCATTTAGAATGAGCATCTTTTTTCTACCCGTCTTGGCCACAGTGCAAATTTTTAAATTGCCGCTCTCATATCTGTATGTAATAAAAAAATAAGTTAAAATAATGCTGTATGACAAAATAGAAAAAAGGTTAATGATAAATA